GGGCCGCCGAGAGCTTTCATGGCACCCTAGGCGTAGCAGCTTGCCTAAGCATGCGTACTTTTAAATTAATAGCATGCACAGTTATTTAAGTTAATCACTCTTTTTAATTTCTAATACTGCTAATTAACATCCTTATTTTCAAAAACTGCATCTGGATTAATAACACTTACGCAGCACATTTATATTAAAATTTATATTACGCAGCAATTAATATTAAAACGTTCTTATCTTGCTTTTTTACTAGCTCAATTCGAATTAGATTAGAAAATAGATTGTAAAATATTTTGGAAAATAGGCTTTAAGCCTTTTGAGTATATTTAGTTAAGAAAGCCTTTTTTGATATAAGTCTAATGTCGATAGCCTATAAAAAGTATTTTTTGATATAAGTCTAAGTCGATGAATATAAGTCTAAAAGATTTCCACAAGTAAAAAATGAAGACTTCTTCAAACTATTAAGATGCGAAATATTTTTCATAAAGTTTTCTTCTATTTCACAAGCATTTTTCAAGCACAAGCATTTTTACTGGTTCGTCTTTCAACAAGAAGAATCTTAAAGAAATAGTTTTTACAGTCTTAATTTTAATTGTAAATTTTGTATTACAGTTCACTGCGTTCTTCGAGTGTAGTTAAGCTGAGTATTTCATAAGCAATTTTGTATTGCAGTATAAGTTCACTGTGTTCTTCGAGTGTAGTTAAGCTGTGTTCTTCGAGTTAAGCTAAGTATTTTAAGTTGTTGATCGTAACTAAAATTTTTAATTTGCAATATTGCATGTTGTAAGAAACGTTTAAGTAATTTATAAATACAAAACTCTAGATATGGTTTAATGTACAGCTGATCCAGTTTTTCCATAGCAAGAAAACTCTGACACCAAAATGACTTATTGAAACAACCAAGCATTCTGTTGCCAACCCAAGCTGCTGCTTCTAATTGTACTTTGAGGTTGTTAGATATTAATACTCCAAGGTCACGCTCAATGCATGTTGGAACTAGATTGCTTCCGTTACCGTCAATGTCAACCATGATATTATTAGTTAGTTCTTGCGACAATCAACTTGCATTACTTTGAACTTCTCGACGTTTAAATTCACAAAGCATTTGTTGGGCCAATTTATAGCGCTGTCGGTGTCCGTTTGTAGCTTCTCATAATTAAAAGAAAATTTATTGACTTCAATAACTCATATGATCTTGCGATTATCAGCATATAATTTTGTATGGTTATAAATGCAGTCTGTTAAGTCATTGATAAAGAACACAAATAGCAGTGATAGAAGAACTGATCCTTGAGGGACGTCAATCGTCACACTTTATTATTATTCATTGTTTTCGATTAACTAGCCAACTAGAGATCCTCAAATGTCATCGGTATGAATCTTATAAAGAAGTCGTTGTGTGACACTGTGTTG